CTCTCCCCTCACCATCCACCATATATTCAATACCTGACATTTACAATGATTCACTTATGGCTACTCCTGTTTCATCTATTACTCCTACACCTCCACTCCTGGATTTTTTTTTTTTATATAAATTTATGGGGTACAGTGTAATTTTGTTACGTGGATGTATTGTATAGAAGTCAGGACTTTCAGTGTATCCATCACTGTAATAATGTACATTGTACCTATTAAGTAATTCCTCATCATCTTTTTAGGTGGTATTCTAGACATTGGAGATACAGCAGTGAACAAAACTTTTTGCCTTGGCAGAGCCAGCATTCTAGGGGTGAGACATTATAAGCAAAGCAAATAGGTGACATATATGTTGCAGGTCATGTGATAGGTGCGTGGAGAAGAATAAAGCAGGGAAAGTGAGTAAGGAGTGCTAGGGTAGGGGTGGGATGGTGCTATCAGATAGGGTGCTCCGGAAATACCTCCCTAAGAGCTGATGTTTGAGCAGGACTTGAAGAAGGTGAGGAACCAAGCAGCACAGATAGCCTAGTTATCCATGTGTTCCAGCAACATCAAGAAGGTCCATGTAAGTGGAGTGGTGAGGAAAGGGAGACTAGTGGGAGATGAGGTCAGAAAGGAGTGAGAGCCAGGGGGTAGATTTCCTGTAGGCTATGGAAAAGACCATGGCATTTACTGTGAGAGAAATGGGGAACGATTTTAGAGTTTGAACAGGGAAAGACATGGTCTCACCTGTGTTTTGAAAGAACCACTGGCTGCTCTGTTGACAATAGATTGTAGGGGGCTGAAATAGAAGCAGGGAGACTCCTGTTGGGAGGCTCTTGGGATAATCCAGGCAAGAGATGATCATTGGGACCACTTGGTAGCAATGGCAGAAATAAGAAAAGGAAGGGGCTGGAAGCGGTGGCTCACATCTGTAATCCTAGCTCTCTGGGAGGCTGAGGTGGGAGGATTGCTCGAGGTCAGAAGTTTGAGACCAGCCTGAGCAAGAACGAGACACATCTCTATTAAAATAGGAAAATTAGCCAGGCGTGGTGGTGTGCGCCTGTAGTCACAGCTACTCGGGAAGCTGAGGCAGGATCACTTCAGCCCAGGAGTTTCAGGTTGCAGTGAGCTATGATGACTCTGCAGCACTCTAGCTGGGGCGAGACTCTGTCTCAAAAAAAAAAAAAAAAAAAAGAGGAGGAGGGATCCTGGCTCTAGAAAGCCAGTGGCAATTGCTGATAGATTGAATGTGAGGTAGGAGAGAAAGTGAGGAGTCTGAGATGATGTGAAGTTTTTAGCCTGAGCATTTCAACTTGGGGTTGCCATCATCCAAGATGGAGAAGGCTATGGGAAAAGCAGGTTTGGGAGTGGAAGATCCCCATTAGATTTTCAAGCAGAGATATGGGTTGGGCAGTGTGATAAATGAGCCTGGAATCCTGAGGAGAGGTCTGGGCTGGAGAATTCTATTCCATTCTACTCCTCACCTCAGCCTTCTGAGTAAGTGGGACTATAGAGTCTCACTATAACAATAACAGCTTTATTGCTATATAATTTGCATATCATACAATTCACCCATTCAATATGTACAATTTGGTGGTTTTTGTATATTCACAGAGTTGTGCAACCACCACCACAATCAGTTTTAGAACATTTTCATAGGTGAATTTTAAAGCCACAGGATTGGATGAGAGAGGAGTCTGAGCACCAAGCCCTGGGGCACTACATTGTCCAGAGGTTAGGGAGATGAGTGGGGACTGAAGCCAAGTGAAAATGGCATTTGAAGGAGGAGAGAGCTATCATGACGCACAGGCTGCTGACAAGGCAAGTGAGGTGAGGACTGAGAACTGATCATTGGGTTTAGCAGTGTGAAGGTGACCTGTGGCATGGTGGGACTGAAGGCCACATCAGAGAGGGTTAGAGAGAATGGGAGAAGAGAAGCAGAGACAGTGAGTTCAGACAGTCTATCAAGGAGTTTGGTTATAAAGAGCAGCAGAGAAGGCTAGGC